TAAGTTCCGTCCTTAACGAAATCCTCCAAAGTGGAAAATGGCAGTTTGGGGATATTGAGCGCTAGGAAGGTGATGAACGAGGCGGAATAGATGGCCAGAATTACTATCGACGAGATGTAAATCGAAATAAAAGCCAGCCTCACCGGTGACTCTTTGGGAAATTCTGCGAAATATATAATATGTGTGTTCTATATATATATATATATTTTTTTTTTTTTGCGCCAAATGTAAATATTATTGACACATCAACGTACTAATTGCATTAAACGTCACCACAAAAGTATATGTATAAAATATTAAGTAGCATTTTAAAATATCTTTATAACAATAATTATATAACTAAAATATTACCTGGCAGACCCTGCTGGCAATAAATTCCCCAAACTTTAATATAGTTTTCTAACATTAAATCCATCGAGAAATATCCGTTTTTCGTTTTCATAATAGTCAACAGAAAAGAAGCGGCTATTATTATTATTACTAATGTTACCCAAACGTCAAAACTGAATGCCTGCAAGATTTATGAGTAGTAGAAAATAATTTATACTACTAGATTTTGTTACCGCAAATCTTTAGATAAATGAATTATTTTAATACTATATTTCATTTCAAAGGTATAAAAGTAACACAAATAATCTTAAATAGAGTAATTACTAATTTATTTTAAGTAAAAATTTATTATAGATAATTTTTAATACTTAATAATATTAATTTGATATATAAGTTCAATAATAATAATATTATGCTGACCGTGTAAGTAAATAATACAAATAAAGATCCAGCGGAGCCGTAAAAGGTTTTTAACATTATTTTATATTTAATTATATATGAAAAGAATTTTAATTTGAACATTTATCTTTGTAAAATTTTCATAATTTTATAATTATAGCCAGTGCATTTGATATAAGTGTAAGTAACTAATTAATATATAGAGAAAGATCGTCAATCTGTCAAACTTTTGTTTTTAGATTATATTTCTTAAACAAAAGATAAAAATTTGAAAACGTAAATATAAATTAGGAAGTCTTTTATCAGATAGTATAGCAATTATTATAATACTGCTAGAATTTTGTAATATATAGCATTTGCGCAAGGTAAAAAAAATGAGCATTTAAAAAATCAGCCAAATCCGACAAAAACAAGAAAGAAAAAAATGTATATAGAATAATGTTAGAAAACTATAAACAAAGCAATCTAATATTAACAATAATATATCCTATATACTATTGAACTAAATAATTTACAAAAGAAAATCAAATAATACTGTTATTTTCACATTTATATAAAATGTTTTTAGCTAATTTTATATATGTATAAACAAGTTACACACACATATAAATTGTGAGTGTTTACCTCTCAAATTATCTAAACTAATCATGTTCTTATCAGTATTGCAACATTTAGTTTCCGAGAAATAAACAAATGTCTCTTTATAAGATTACATTTATATCAGTATCGGCTACTTTCCTCTATTTCCTTAATTAATATACATTATTATAATATAAAGATAATATATTATTACTTTTAAGTATAAGTTCCATTGCATGGGCACGTTGGGTTCCTTGAAATAGAGGTAGTATCGCGCGCGTACCAATGGTATCGTATAGTCGATGACGTCTTGTCTATCGGTCGTCATCGTGAATGCGGATACACCGATGTCGGCTTCATTGGCCAC